AAAAACATGGAGAAAACCATGGAGAAAACCATGGGAAAACCCATTTTTTCTCTTTTACGATGACATAACGGGGTGTTCCTGTTTAGTTCTTCCCTTAAAGCAAGTCTGGTAAGATTCTCTTCAACCAATTCTAGGATGAATTTATCTAGGTTTCGTCATGGGACCCTGAAAGCTTGTAGGTCCAATGACCATTGCTAAGTATGTAACATACTGTGGACGGAAGAAATCCTGCACCACCTTGGATGGTTGAAACCCTATGAAGAATGGGATAAACCACGTATCAACTGGTGCAGGATTTCTTCCATCCACAGTATTAGGGGAAGGGAGTATGAGGCGGTATATTCTGACCAGAAAGGAAACACTTATTTTGATCCTGAACTGGGGACCCCTATGCACGCCACTGCTGGATGGGTAATAAAATGTAATCCACCCTGCACACATGGGTAGCGAATCACATGCACAGGTCCTAGGGTCAAAGAACCCAGAACCGCTTTTGGCAATGATTTTTGACGATCTTCAGTTTAGGTTTAAGTCAAGTACTTAAACAGATGATGCATATCGCACCCCAACTTGCTGAATGGCTACATTAAGCTGACGCCTGAGGAGAAAGATGAAGTGGGTGAATGGCGGCTGCAAAGCCTGAAGAAGAAACACGAGGAGTCGCGGGACCTGGGCTTCCTGGGCACCCAATGATCAGGCCTCAACCGTTGAGCGCCAGGAGAAGGAAAGAATCAAACAGGAACTCATTGACGCGGGCGAGGATGTGCCCTGGACACGCAGGGAGGTGAATGGATGGGAACTCCATTGCAGGGTGAGGACCTTCATGGAACTAGCGTAGCTGTGCAAAAAAGTTCAAATCTATACGTATGTATATATATATAATATAATATATATATATATATATGATATTATATGATATACATATGATTTACCTATTAAAGTGGTGAGTTCCAGTTCGCAAACGGTTGCTTTACTGGGAAAATTTTGGTTGCGTTAGAAGCCCTGCTGGCACCGGTGCCTTGGTGCCTTGAGCCATCCCCCGGGGCCATCCCCCTGAGTCCCAGATCAATGGATTGGTTCAAGATCACACTTTTTGCGTATCCATACAAATTCTGGGTAAATTATCACGACCTCACTGCGATCGAACCCTGGAAATCATGGTTTTTATAGGGAAATCATCCCCAAATGGCCGCACTATTCAGGTTAGTGAAATACTATAATTTACCCAGAAACTTGATGGACAATACATGAATTTCCCGAAGAATTTGGCACAACATTTGCCGTTTGCGAAAACGCAAAAAAGCCACGTGAGCGATGCCTCAAAACTCTGCAAAAAGTGGATGGTTTTGAGGATACCCCAAACTCCAGAATTGTTACCCATTTGATGGCAGCAAATCGGGTATAGCATCCTTTTTTTTTTGAATGAACTTACACATTTGTATCGTTAATACATCGTGAAAATACGGTGAACACTCATTTTTGTTCATGCTGAAGTCCAGCTTTTGACGCTTAAATCGAGACCCATTTGATGATGAAATTCCGGTTTTGGATGCTCAAATCTCCACAAGATTGTTGATGCCTCAATTGATGCTTCAATCCACATCTTTGAGTGAAAACCAGTTCCACCCCAATTTTTGGAAGTTGAATTGGGAACAAAAATAGATCCATGTGTTTTTTTAATCCCATCTCTAATCCATTTAAAAACACATGGAATCCGTGTTTTGAGGGTGAAAACATGTTGAGGCCGGTCGAATAAAGTGATGCAGCATTTTTCAGGTGTTCCCAACCGTGGGCCACCGTTCTTTTAGGTCCCCGAAGAGGAGGAGGAAGAGCCCGAGGAGCTTCCCCAGCTTCCAGAAGATGAGGAGGACGCTTTTTTAGCGACTGGGTTGGTGATGGATGTGGTTGTAGATCTTATATATATATTATGGTTATGAATCAATTATTGATGATGGCTAATCATGGCTAATCATAATTCATGAATTGACTATTAATGATGGCTATTGTATTTCATAGTTATCGATAATTAATGATGGCTAATCATGATATATCATGGTTATGTTTATGATATACATATTTTTTGTGATATACGCTACACATGGCTTATTCCAATTTTGATTCAGCGGGTGATTTTTGGTTATTATATAATATGTTGGTTTAGCGGGCGGTGTATATGGTTTTATTGTCCTGTTTTGTTGAATATAACCAACGGTCAATCATTACTGAATGCTAGATACACTCATGGCTTAACATGATTTCAATATATTTCAATAGACTTTACCTGACTTATGGCTAAAAACATCATTGTCGCTATTGAATGGGTGATGGCCCACAATCCTCAATTGCAAAAGGGTACCGAAGGTAGCCAAAATCTTGGCTCAATCCATATGTATATGTATATGATACTGTATATGTATAAGCGTATGATATGCATATGTATGTATATGTAATATGTAGTATGTAGCATGTAGCAGGTAGCATGTAATATCTAATATGTAACATGTCATATGTCATATGTGATATGTATATCTATATGTATTTGTAACATATATGTTTATAACCTCAAATTTCTACCTATTTTCAAATAGTTCAACGGTTGAACCTTTTTTCGAAACGTAGCGGTTTCTCAGTTTCTCAGTAATTCTCTTTCCAGGAGCAGCAGGCCCTCTTCGACCAGACAGCCACTGGGCGAGTCGGCAGGAGGGCAACCTCTAAAAAGGTGCCCGAAAAAACATAACACTTTGTGTATATTCTTTGATGATCATTACTAAATTACTGCCACCAAAGCATTTCCAGTACACTTCTTGCTATTATACTACTATATACATTCATATTCTTATCATCATAATCATTACTAAGTGTTTTTTTGACCTACACTGAACAGTATATGACGAAATTGTATGTCCGATATGATATTACATACTACCATTCCTTATCATCCCTAGAAATCATTCGTATGCCACGACATGGCCAAGGCGGGTGATCAACTGCGCACCATGGCACCCTTCGTGCCACTGAAGTCTCTGGAGTCGCCTCAGAGGTACGTTTCTGGGGCTTTCCAGAAATGGGGATACCCCAAGCTCGCTGGATGGTTTACCCTCTGGTAAACATACAAAAAGCTATTGAAAATGGCCATTTATAGTGGATTTGTCCATTAAAAATGGTGATTTTCCATAGCTATGTTAAATTACCAGTGAGTATTTCATGGAGCATCCCATCTTTCTAAATGGATGACGACTGGGGGTACCCCCAGCCATCAGGAAATGCCCATGTATTGTTGATAGACGATGTTGATTGTGTCACGGCATATGACCTTTCATGGGGATGGTGAACCAAGCAACCCATTGAAAAGAGGAATAGCTTGTAACCAAGCAGATGGGATGGGTGATAGGGGGCTACTTTTCATGGAGATCATCATATTCACACATATTCACCATCATATTCACCAAGAAACGTGAGAGGTTGCAGCATCTAAAATTATCGAACCATTGGTATGTCACAGGGGATCACTTTGGATCAACTTAGGCTGCCGAAACTGAAGGCATCATGTACAGAAACTTCCCAACAGCAGTGGCTTTCTCAAACTTGGGGACCAGAAACACCTCAATCACCTCAAAACTCAAAATTGATCCCTCTAAATGTCAAGTTTGGTGCAACTCTGTGTTTTTCCTTATTTTTGAACCAAAGGATGAAGGTGTAAGCAAGACCAGGGAGCTGGTAAAATCTAGTTTTTCATTGGTAAAACCTTCCCTGAACTGCTCGATGTCAAGGGGCCCAGGGGCCCAGGCTCACGGCGAAACCGTTTCACGTTTCACACGCCAGGCTCCCGGCGGCAGCCGAGTCGAAGCTGGAGCCGGAAACCATCGATCGTCAGGCCTCCCCATGGTGTCTATGTGGATGTATCATCCTGAAGTAGATTCATATCATCTAATATGGGATTTTCAAAGAGATTCCCATAAAAATATTTATTTACATATTTTTGTTTTGACATGTCCATATTACATCAATTCAGGACATTATATATATATATACGTACGTACATACGTACATACAGTCACATGCCTAAGGGACCATAGGTATACGACCAACAACCGAGGGCGATATTTTCACCAGCAACGCCATCAGAAGTTTGACACTTGACACGATTGGGACCCTTCACTGGCCGACCATATTCCCTCCCATCCTTCAACCAGATTCCGCGCAATGTTTTGTGTGTATATATGTAGATTTATACATGATTATGGGTCGTTGCCTACAATACCATACAGTAATAGAAATGAGTGCAGACATGTACTTAAGATGACAGCATGCTATATATATATATATATATATAGATGCATATGTATAGATATTGATACACATGATTATAAATGTATGTCTTGTAGTACTCTTAATATGTGACCAACCTATAAGAGTTAGGGTGTTAGTTTCACAGCAAGAGGGATCTTGCCAAAACTATGTGGAGACTTTTGTGACGCCCATCATGGAAGCCCTCGACAGAGGTTGGGAATCTAAAACTTCCTTCAATACAACCAGGTAAGACAAAGCATTTTCTGTTTCCTTTTCCCCTAAAAGCAACCACATACATATTATATTATAACAACACATATGATATAATATAATATGATATTATAATACAACATAATATGATATAATATAATATCATATCATATCGTGTCATATCTTTCAATTTCATATCATATCATATCATTTCATATAATGTCTTGCCATATCATGTCATACCATATCATATCATAGCATGTCATTTCTTGCGATATCATATCATACCATATCATATAATTTTATATCATAACATACCTTTCGTAACATATTGGATATCACATATCAAATATATTACACCATACCTGCATTGAATATCAGATATGATATATTCCATACCATATATCATATCACATATGAAAGCAATCAGTTTTTGAAATGTTGATCTCCAACTTTTCAACGGTCAGCCTTTTGACTCCTTGTGGCGTTAAAAAACGCAGGCCTTGAAGCAAGGAGAATTGAGAGCCGTAGAGGTGGGTTTCATGGCAGGTTTTCCATGGGGGATCCCCAATAGCCGCTGCTTGGTTTATATGGAAACTCCTAAAATATGGATGACATCTGTAGCCAATCTTGAGATCATGATGTCCTGTTGGGAAAATGAGCTGAACATCGAACTGCAATGTTTTGCATGTGTCAATGGACTGGTTTAAGGGAAAATCTGCAGGAAACCATCGATTTTCCCAGTAAATATGGGGTTTTCCTGTAAATTTTCCCTTAAACCAATCCATTGAATATGTTGGAGATGAACTGCTTGGTGGTTTCAAGCATTTTTAGCCGTAGAAATGGGATGATGATCCCTACAAAAAATGGGGCTTTTTCAAGGACCAAACACGTGGATGAGCAACAAACCAGCAAGGTATTGAAGCAATAGGAATCGACAATTAAGCAGCAAACTGTGGATTATAAGCAATGATATTATATACATATATATATATACTATTCCGTTGTCACCGGATGTGATCCAGTTCTCGACAAGTCAAGTGATTTTTTTTGTGATGGATTGATAGATTTGATTGGATGATTCATTAATAGATGGATTTTGCTAATTTCGACATCTTGGGTTGCTTGATTCTTGGACGCTCTGATTACTATGGGTATTGGTACTAAAGTGTTGCCATCCCCCCAATAAGACAAACCCTGAGAATCACAATTCTTGAGAGGAAAGTAGTCCTCCACCCCTCAAACCCACGGCAGGTCTATATTACTTGGAGGAAGGGCAATGCTTGATGGATCTGATGATATACCCACTTCATATTTTTTCGCATGCGGATGTTGGGAAATTGATGGATTGGGTTATGAACTTTCAGCAGATCTTCACACACTGTTGGTGAACAAATGATAGATTTGAATATCGATAGTGTAGTCTTCTTTCATGCAGATTGTGATATTTAGATGGCTTGAACTGCCATTCAATAAAGATTAGATACCGTCTGACTCCGTTTACAGATGGTGAGTTTTGATGGATTTAAGGATTTCTTGAAAAAAACATTCAACCACGAATTGGATAACGACCGGCTTTCTTTGAAGGTCGTCTCTCTTGTTTTTCCCCAAATCTATTTGTCTAGAAGCAGGGTCCCCACAGATCTGGTGGAGTCTATCCTCAATTTCCCTTTTCTTCAATGGCCAGAACTGAAATGGGTCCATCCCCATTTCTTCAATCCATTTTGCTGGGAAAAGCCAACTCGACAACTCGGAGTTCAGCCTGAAAATTGGGAGTTTCGCCAACAAAAATGCTCGGATTCCTCACCAAACACATCCAAAAACCAGGGGAAAAAATGGGAAAAATCACCGCAGGCGATGCGGAGAAGCTGTCCCTTGCCCTTGCTCTCCTTGCAGATGGATGGTCGTCCTCCGCAGACAGCGGCGGAGCAGCTGGAAGTTTTCACAGGTCCCTGGGAGATCACAGCGATCACAGTGCCAAAAAAAAAAACCTTCGGAACAGTTCAACTGGTTCAACTGGGTATGATTAATGAATATGGGTTTGTCTGAAAATAGTGTACCCCTACACCCAATGGTTAATGATCATTATCCCTACTAAATGGCTATAATTGGGGGTATACCCCATTTTCAGACATACCCATATTATTGATATTTGATGATAAATGTGTTCAAATTTCAAAGTATAACAGGACAGATTCATGATCTTAATTGGCACACATGATGCCCCCTGGAGGTGCATAGACCTCCATAGCTGATGATAAGATGTGATAAATCCATCTATACAAATCCCCAAATGTATAGAAAGGAACATTCATCATTTTTGCAGATTTTGTCGCCATCTTTGGTGAAGACCTGCGAACATCTTACCCTCCAGTAAATTAACAATTCGACCCTGCCAGATAGGGGTTGGAAGATGAGTTTCCACTAAAAATGGGTTATTTTCACGGTCGAACTGTGAACAATTGCCAGGGCAATCCCATTGATCATCCCATTTATCAGCTCTATCCATCATTATTAGTCACTATTCACCACTATTAATCATATGGTAGTTCTCTTGATGGTCCCAAAAGGGATTTTTCTTCAACCATCGTGAGGTCCTTGCGGGCGTCGTGTCCCTCTGCCCGTGCGGCTGGAAGGTGCAGGGGCCATAACTTGCCACATCTTCAGACACGTGTTCTGTTTGAAGTTCAGAGATGTTCCAAAGATCCAGTGGGTTTACGCTCAGAAGCTGGTGAGGATCCATTATATCCCCATTATATGAATATATTAATATCATATATAATAATATCCATGTAATGACAATCATATATTAATCCATAGATATTTACCCTCAGATGACGTTTCCGTTTGCGTTTGCGAGTCTTCTTTGATACCATACCTGCAGGGACCACAAATGGATCTAATGCATTCCACCAGGCTTCGATCAGCCGTCGAAATGTTGGTCTATATATATATATATATGTGACTAATGGTGATTAATGGTGATTAATGGTGATTAATGGTGATTAATGGTGATTAATGGTGATTAATGGGATAAATGATAATAATGAATGTTACCATCTGGTTATGACTAACAGTTTGCCATGGAAAGATCCACCATTTTTAAGAACGGTAAGCCATCTATTTCTATGGGCCATCTATACCATGGCAAACTGTTAAACAACCAGATGGTAATATCTAAGTACCCAAATCCTTCCGGAGGTTTCTAAAATCTCACAAATGATCAACAATTAAGATACTTTATGATATTTTCCGTCAACCACATTTATCGATTTTTCAAAATTTCTATTCAAATAGCCACCTATCAAACTATCTCTGTCTATCTCTGTTTATTCCTATCTATCTCTATCTATCCCTATCCCTATCTACGAATCTATCTCTATCTATCTATATCGATCTTCAACTATCTCTATATATATACATATTTATATCTATCTCTATCTCTATATTCCAATCAATATCTATCTCTATATCTCAATCTATCTATATCTCTGTCTCTATCTCTACCTCTATCTCTATCTATTTCTATCCGCATCTAGCCTCACAAAGCCTCATCTATCCATCTATCTGTCTATCTATCTGTCTATCTGTCTATCTATTTGTCTATCTATCTGTCTATCTATCTATCCATTTATCCATCTTCTATCTATCTATCCATCTATCTGTCTATCCATCTATCTGTCTATCTATCTATCTATCCATCTATCTGTCTATCTGTATATCTATCTGTCTATCTATCTGTCTATCTATCTGTCTATCTATTTGTCTATCTATCTGTCTATCTATCTGTCTACCAATCTGCCTACCAATCTGTCTACCAATCTGTCTATCTATTTGTCTATCTATCTGTCTATCTATCTGTCTATTTGTCTATCCATCTATCTGTCTATCCTTCTGTCTATCTATCTGTCTATCTATCTGTCTATCTATCTGTCTGTCTATCTGTCTATCCATCTATCTGTCTATCCATCTATCCATGTATCTCTTTATCTATCCGTCTATCTATCTGTCTATCCATCTATCCATGTATCTCTTTATCTATCCGTCTATCTATCTGTCTATCCATCTATTTGTCTATCTATCTGTCTATCTATCTATCTATCTATCCATCTATCCATCTATCCATCTATCCATCTATCCATCTATCCATCTATCTATCCGTCTATCTATCCGTCTATCCATCTATCCATCTATCCATCTATCCATCTATCTGTCAATCCGTCTGTCTATCCATCTGTCTATCCAATCTGTCTATCCATCTGTCCATCCATCTGCCTATTCATCTGTCTATCCACCTCTCTATCCATCTGTCTATCCATCTGTCTATCCATCCTTCTATCCATCTGTCTCTCCAGTTGTCTATCCATCTGTCTACGTATATCCATTCATCCATCCATTCACCCACGCACCCACCCACCCACCCACCCTCCATCCATCCATCCATCCATCTATCCATCCATTCCTCCATCCATCGATCCACTCACCCATCCATCCATCCATCCATCCCTCTCTTAGAGAAGAAGAGAGAAAGAAGAAGAGAGAAAGAAGAAGAGAGAAGAGAGAAGAGAGAAGAGAGAAGAGAGAAGAGAGAAGAGAGAAGAGAGAAGAGAGAAGCGAGAAGCGAGAAGAGAGAAGAGAGAAGAGAGAAGAGAGAAGAGAGAAGAGAGAAGAGAGAAGAGAGAAGAGAGAAGAGAGAAGAGAGAAGAGAGAAGAGAGAAGAGAGAAGAGAGAAGAGAGAAGAGAGAAGAGAGAAGAGAGAAGAGGGAAGAGAGAAGAGAGAAGAGAGAAGAGGGAAGAGAGAAGAGAGAAGAGAGCAGAGAGCAGAGAGCAGAGAGCAGAGAGCAGAGAGAAGAGAGAAGAGAGAAGAGAGAAGAGAGAAGGAGAGAAGAGAGAAGAGAGAAGAGAGAAGAGAGAAGACAGAAGGGAGAAGGAGAAGGGAGAAGAGAGAAGAGAGAAGAGAGAAGAGAGAAGAGAGAAGAGAGAAGAGAGAAGAGAGAAGAGAGAAGAGAGAAGAGAGAAGAGAGAAGAGAAGAGAGAAGAGAGAAGAGAGCAAGCTCTACCTCTCCTCTCCTCTCGCCTCTCCTCTCTCTCTCTCTCTCTCTCTCTCGCTCTCTCTCTCTCTGTTTCTCCATCTCCATCTCTATCTGATCTATCCATCCCATTCTTGCGTCTGGGTGTGTCTGAAAATAGGGGAAAAAGAACATAAAAAAAACTAAATGGTTATTTCTGGAAGATGATTCACTGATTATAATCCCATATCACCATGGCCTGGTGATTTTTTTTACCCTAAATGGAGGTTTCCTAAAATGCGAGTACCCCCAGTCATCATCCATTGCTACATAGGGATTTTCCATTCTTAAACCATCCAGCTAGAAATGGGTATCCCCATTTCTGGACACCTCCATAATTAGTGTGTATATACTATTGATCATGAAATGAAGCATTATTAACAATCATTAACCATTGATATTTAACCCATAAAACCCATTTTTGCATCCCATTTAAAGGCCATGAAACCACCATTTCTTGATGGTTATCCTATGATTTCTTCCATCGAACATGTCGCCAGGTGCCTCGGAGCCCAAGGAGCTCCTGCGTTTGAACCTGGAAGCGATGCAGTTCAGCCGGCGCTGGTCACCATGGAGGTGACCGGGAGTGACCGGGAACCCCGGTGGCCCGGAGAGTTTGGAAACAATTTTTTCATGGGATTTTACTGAGATTTTGATGGTTTTCATGGGATTTTACTGAGATTTTGATGGTTTTCATGGGATTTTACTGAGATTTTGATGGTTTTCATGGGATTTTACTGAGATTTTGATGGTTTTGATGGGATTTTACTGGGATCTAATGGGATTCTAATGTATTTCTGATGTATTTCAATGGGATTTACTTGGGATTGAATGGGAGTTTCATATATTTTTTCATGGGATCTGTTCATGGGATTTTGATGGTTTCAATGGGATTCAACGGTGATATCCTGGAAATAAATATGGCATTTTATTTTAATTGGATGGGGATCGTAGAACGTGGGGATATATATATATACATACATACCACCAATAAGATCATATGGGGATTCGATCAGGGTCTGATGGGATTGATTTTTCTTGCAATCTATGATATGTTCCCTGGGCGTGTCTGAAAGTCGGGGATTAATCAGCAACAATTGGGATTTTATGGGGCTTGAATGCGGATATGATGAGATATAACTTACTAAAATTAACAGGTCTGTCTGAAAATTTGGAGACAACACGCTTTATTTAGCACCATTCTCCCGATTAAGCTTGCCATTTGGGGATACAATTTTCAGAAGCTCGGGGTGTCAGTTTTTTAATGTTTACCCTCCAGTAAAGTGAAACAGCTATGGAAGTCCATGGGTCTTCTGCAGGAAACAATCTACAAAATGGTGGATTTTCCATGTAAATGTTTGTTTACTGGAGGCAATTTCCGGAGGGCACTAATGTATGACCTAGAGACAATAAGACTGGACAATCCTGCATCAATCCAAGGATGTTCCTGACTTCAGAAACTGGAGTGGCTATGTCCAGTATAATCCAGTATATACATATTATAGACTATAGACATACAAGTAGAGATAGCCTCTGGTAAACGTTTACATAGCTATTGAAAATCACCATTTTCATATGTTTTTTCCATCTATTTCTATGGTCAGTGGGGCTTCCAGTTCGCGACCTGTTAGTAGGTCGTTGGAGGTCGGTCATCCCTGGCAGGCTTCATTGCCCCGTCTCGCTCTATGAGAAGCAGCTGATGCTTTTCGTGAAAAAAAAACACGACTGGTTGATTGGGTAGTATCACAAGGCAACAGGAATTGTACTACCAGGTTTCTGAAATGGGATATCAGCTGGTGATATTGTTGGATGAAAGTTTTACATAGTTTTACGAGAACAGCCGACTTCTTAGTAGTGTACGTACATAGTTTGGCTTTCCTTGTCATTCCCACTCAAGTGGGATCTAGCCAATGCCTAGGTCATGCCCACTCGAGCACGCTGTGCAAAATGTTTGCTCCACTAAGTTTAAATACACAACTGTCATGGATTTTTGCAGAGAGTCCGGAGCCTTTCACATGGGTATGTGAACATCATTGAACATCCCTCATGTAGAGAATCAACAGGGTACCGTTTTGTCACATATCGTGGCCCATATCGACCATATCGTCTCCCAGTCTGCCCAGGACCCCAGGGGTCGAGGAATTTGCTGTGGACTATGCAGGCCGATTGGTGGGTGGAGGACACCCTTTTAAGTTGGGTAAGTTGGGTGAAATTTTGAAGTCTCCAGGGGAGCGCAGGGTTGGAACATGGCTTATATTTTTCCAAACATTGGGAATAATCATCCCAACTGACTTTCATATTTTTCAGAGGGGTTGAAACCACCAACCAGATCCAAGCAGCTTGAGCCGCGCCGCAAGCCGCAGTGGAGAGTTCATCCCCCAACATATTGAGGGAAGAGGCCAATCCTTGGACATCAGCCAAGACATATGTATAATTATAATTATATATATTTATATATATATATATATATAATCATATGATATCATATACTATATACATACAAAAACTATATATATATATACATATATATATATATATAAATAATCATATACATTTATATACTACTGTATATACATACAAACACAGTGTACACATATTGGGGAATGTAACCTTCAAACATATGACAGAAATTCCCGCAATGGGCAATGCTACGATTCTTCCCATCAAACCAAATGTGTACCCAAGTTCTTGATAGTCAGATTCCTTGGGAGCGGTAGTTCTAAAAGTTGTCAGCAGTTCAGAATCTCCGACGAAATTGTTTGGTTGACACCTGGAATGCGTGCGTTCTACCCACTGGGGAAGTGGCCGAAACCCCTCCAGAAATGGAGCTGTTTGGAGGGCCTGTTTGTGTTTAATATTTTTTGGGGAAGGAGTTAACTTCGAACTGCTGTTCAGTTGAAATTTATGTGAGATATTTCCATGTTTTCACGCCACAAATTGCTTTGCGGGAACCGACTTGGCAAGAAGAACGCAGCGATTGCAAGTGGGTGTGGTAAACCGAAAATAGGATATACCCGCGTCCATTTTCACGAGAACATGGTGCATACACCAGTGGATGGAATCGAATTATGGGTCTTCCCATCATTTTCAGAGACACCCATTTAGTAAGTCCATGCTTCCTGGGGTTTTTCCCATACGTTTTCCGGTGGTTTTTTTGCGCCGGGCCTGGGCTTAGCCTTCCGCAGGCTACGTCTTCCTCTTCGCCGGAGAGGAGAATTCTCATGAAGTTTCCGTTTGGGCTTACCGGGTTGGCGACGTGCCTAGTGACGCTGTTGCACCCCTGTCGGAAGTGAACAATTATGTGAGTCCGGGTCTTTGTGGGAATGCGCTTTTTGGATCTTTTTGGTAAGTTTTATGTATTGAATAATTTTCAAGCATCTGTTTTTGTCTGTCTTAGTTTTGAGGCGTAGCAGTTGTAGAGCTATAAGGCTATATGTATATAGGTATGTATTGTGTAAAAACTTTTGGCTTCAAGTCTTGTGTGTATACGGTACATATCCAAGTTTGTACATCCGGCAAAAAATAAACTACAAGGACCTGAAAGCAAACCCGTCAATCAGCTGGTAAAATTCAGTTTGGTAGAAATATGCTGTAATGCAGCTATTTTTGCTATGAAATATTGTATTGAGTCAATGAATATCAAAGAGGAATGGAATTCAATTTTGGCCGGTTGCGCCACGCTCAACGAGAGGGTGGTGTTTGCTTCGAGGAAACAGCACTCTTGATTGACAGGAGATGTCATTTTGTCTCCAAGCAGTACTGCATCTCCATGACAGAGTTCCCTGCATCTTAAAGAGATATGGAACGTTTTGTAGGGATAAGCATGCTGTTGTCTTGAAACAAAATGTGTTTTTAAAACACAGTATCAATTCAGATTATATGGACAACACCATGCCTCTTATCAGTCATAATTTAAAAGAATGTGGCATTCCTTCAGGAAATTGTGGCATACCTCCGTGCAACATTCTTCTACAGAGAGGGCAGCGTTCCTCTTATAAAATGTATCATTACTGTGAAGCACGGCCCTGAGATGTGCACAGCATTCCTTTAGAAAGAGTGCACCATGTCTTCCATATATATTTGGAACAAATATTGTATGTCTTCCATCGAGGTACAGTAATACTATTTCAGAGAAGGTAGCGTCTCTCTAATATACAAGTTACTTTTTCAAGAGTGCGGCATTCCTTTAACAAAGTACTGTGACTTCATGAAATATTAACTTGAATAATGGTGTTCTTCAATCTTACTTCGAAAAAGAAACAGCATTCATGTGAAGAAATATGGCATCATTTCAAAATATCATAATTCACTATTTGATATTTTTTTGAAATATGTTCATTATGTTACATGTATACACTGTATTGCTTTCAAAAGTGTGTGACATTCCTTTGAGAAAGTAGCTTTCAGGACACACATGAGTCCTTGTGAAAGAGTCTGGCATTGTTTAAGTTCTTGTGCTAAAGGGAACCCTTTCACATGTATATAGATATGTATATATATATATGTATGGCAATCCAATGCAGAAAGTCGAGCATTATTTTGAAAAGGTATTCTTCAAGAAGCAGTTGCACTCTAAGAAACCATGCCTTTATGCAAGATTTCTTGAAACAGATGCAATATTGTTATATTCCTTTGGTGACACTCCTTGTTTAGAAAAAGAATACACAAACAGGACCACCTCCTCCAGAAAAGAGAAAATACGGCCTTCCTCCTTTAGAAAATAAACAGTATTCAGGGACTCTTGTCCAGACCCCCACTTTCCAAAGAGTCTGGAAATATTTTTTTTTTGGTGTGTGGTTTTTCCAAGTTTTTTTTGTTTTTTAGGTTTCGTCCTCCTCCAAAGAGTATGGAAATAATCTTTGGGGCCACCCTCCAAAAAGTATGGAAGTAATTTTTAGGGGCCTGTGTCAAATTGTCGTGTAAGAATGCATCTGGGAGTGCAATAAAATGGAACAATATCTTAAGATGAGATGATCTGCTTTGAATTGCAACAGAGGATCCCTGAATTTTGAATGATCGATTTGTGGTTTGACATAGCAAATCACTGTGGCAATTCACTGTAGGAATTTCAATTTTCACATGTCGAATAAGCATTGAACAAATGATCAGAAATGATTGATACTCATTGAATCAAGAAAAGGAGCTTTCTGAGATGCATTTTCTGGCACCCAGGGAACACAATTCCAGAAACCTCCTTTTCCTTAAAAATCATATCCAATGGTTTTGAAATGATATTGGTGGCTGCGTAACCCCCATTATTCTCCATTAGGTTCCAATTTTTATTGCTTGTTATTACCCTTTGGTAAACTAACATAGCTATGGAAAATTTTTCATTTATAGTTGGTTTACTGTACCTATTAAAATGATGATGATTTTCCAGTGCTATGTTAGTTTACCAGAGGGTATATACCCATATCATATTAATATTTTTTCAAAACGATCTCCAAACACATTACATACGTCTCCATGCAGCAACTCCCAAGATGCCGAACCGTTGGAACCTTGGAAATGATGGGGAACACATCTCCGAACTACCATCCTGGAAACATGTTTTGCATCTTTTCTCGGCAAAAATTCTTGGCATTTTATGGGCCTATAATTCTTTATCCAGATGTGCCATGGTCCAAACTTGGAAAAAAAATCCCCCCAACTGGGGATGATAGTTACCGATCTATGGGGACATTTTTGGGATGGTTTATAATGGTACCCAATCATCCAAGTCAGCCCATTTTAGTGTTGACACCATGGTGATTTGCGGTACCAACTATTTTAGGACACCTGTATATTAAGGTTGGTTTATGGCATTGGCAAATTGGGTACACCATGCCGAGCCACGGATAGAAACCCCACGCCAGGACCCAATGCGCCGCTTCTGTCAGTGGCCGAAACGCTTCTTGACAGAGATGCCTTGCATCAACGCGCCAGGCGGGACCCCGCGGCACCGCTGGTCTTGCTGTGTTCTGATGACTTTTCCAAAGGGTTTTTGCATATCTGTGCTATGATTTCATAGATCATTCATATCTATTCATATCATATGCACATGACATTTTTTGACACATATCATATCATATGCACATTCATATCATTCTTGTTATGACACCCAGACATACATAGGATTATTTTGGTATGTAAATAGGACATAATAGAAACATGTCTCTACACGTCAATATTTTGACTCGCACCATGCTTGTCGTACCATACATGCATATTCATACGTGATACAATGTAACATATCAACATATCATACATGATACGTATATAGACATAGACACTTCAATTTATCATGAATGGCTTTCAATACTGTTTTCAGTCTCCCGAAATCGTGAAATTGGATACCTGGGGAAGGTTTACCTCTTGGGGTTTTCTTTGATCTCTTTGCTTCGCAGAAACACCATTTTTGGATGGTCGTAATTCTTCCCACCATTTTCGTCAATGTGAAAAACCATAACATGGTTACGATTCTGATTCAGCATATACTCAGAAAATCATGTTAGCATCAAATATGTTGACATGGTTGCCGTATTTTTAAGACTTTATGTTGACATGGTTTATGTAGATATTTGATATTTTTATTTGTTATGGTGTATGGTTGTTTTATGGTTATGGTTGCCGTATTTTCATGTGGTTACAACGGTTACCCTCTGGATATTTAACATAACTATGGAAAATCACCATTTTCAATGGGAAAATCCACTATTTCTATGGTGATTTCCCATGGTTTTTTTGTATGTTTTACCATTAAAATTGGAGGTACCTACCATATATAAGGTCTATATAAGGCCTATGTAAGGGAATATCCCCAGAAAATATGGCCAGAAATATGGTACTAACGTACCTAAATTTTAGGATCCTGAAGATCTCCCATTGATTTTCCCGAGATCTCCAGGTATGACCTTAGGCTTCGTCCTCCTGAGCCCTGCATCCTTCCGAGCCACTTCGCTCGTCCAGCGGCTCCACGGTGCCCAGATGGTCGTTTTTCCATCAGATTTCTATGGTTTATCTATGGTTTATCTATGGTTTATCTATGGTTTATCTATGGTTTATCTATGGTTTATCTATGGTTTATCTATGGTTTATCTATGGTTTATCTATGGTTTAATCGTGGTGATGGTTTATCTATGGTTTATCTATGGTTTATCTATGGTTTATCTATGGTTTATCTA